AGCAGAATGCAACACAAAATACGTCTAGAACATTCTAGAGATGTGTTAGCCGAGTGCGTCGCACATAGGAGCCTCAGCGGAAGGGGGGTGACAAAAGTCAAAGAATTTAATGAGCGCTTTGGATAAAATGAATAAACTCATCTACATATATTTTCCAGAGCTTTCGAAAATGTAATTTTCAAAATATTCGGTATTCATGTGTTGAGCTAGCGAGCTTTTTCACTAGCGTAGTTTTGCGATATGTTTATTAACGAGACGATGGTTCTTTAGATTAAATATGGTTTTTTTGTTGTAAACAGTATAAAGGCGATACAGAATCAAAGAGATAGCGAAAGGTTCGAGTTAGATTGATGACGAGTCGGTTGGAGAGTTAGCTGGATTCAAGACGGGGTCAGATTGTAGACGCGGGGGTCGGTACAAGACGGTGTCGGATTGAATAGCCCGATTCCAAGACGATGTGCAGTGGTTGCTGGATCCAGACTAATTCAAAGGGCAGGCGGGCGAATTGCCCGTGCCCTAATGCGAGCGAGAGAGCGAAAGATCGAGAGAGTAATAGCGAAAGGCGATAGAAAGAAAGGTGTGAGTTGAAGACGCGAGAGAACGGCGGCATAGGCTGCTGCCGTGCGGGAGCATGAATATGTACATATGTATGTAGATGACAAAGTTAAGCAGTGGGCAGTAGAAATGCCGAACAATAATAGATATTTTCTCTACTGCTGCACCACTGACTATGATCTACTGATTATTTGGCTGCGTAACCAAACATACTCCCCCCGTTGAAGAGCACGGGTCTTTAACATCCCTTTTCAACAGCATACAGGGTTCAGCAGGCAAAGCTTGTTGTTGATGGGGCCGTTCTTCCTTCCATCGAGACCTGTAGATTTGATGCATGGAAGCAACGCGTTGTCCGGCACCCATTCGGTTGAAGTTGAGCCATGTAATGTGAGGCTCGGCGACAGAAGAAGAGGCGAAGAAGAATAGGTCATTCAAACCAGGCACTGGAAGTGATGTGTCCAGACTAGCATGGCTCTCTGAAATTAAGACTGAGGGATTAGCAATTTCTGCCCTCCCCCCAATAGGGCAATGTGGGGATGGTCTTGGGCCCAGCACAGCTCGAGGTCCAGCGCGATGCCCAGAATTACGTCCGCCAGCAGAGAGCGGGGGCTCGTTCAGATGAACATCGGCCGGAACGGGGCGTTTGCAGGGAATCCACAATGCTTGAAGGTATGTAAGCGAGGTCGTAGCCTGAGCAGGAACCAGATCCGACGCAAGTCCACCTGTGTTGATGCAATCGAGGCCGCCATCTAACTTCGAATAGGATTCATCGTCCCCTGCTCTACCATGAACAGCCGGAACAATAAACAGATGCTTCGATTGGTATTGACTTCTGTTGATCAGTCCAATTGGCTCCAAAATCGCGCACGAATCCACTTGGAATGGGGCCGGTGTGATTTCCTGACCAAACGCAGGATGCGGAGCTACGGAAGTGGACCGCTTAGTGATCTCTGAGAGAATGATCCCAGTGAGCGTCACAAACAGCTCTTCAAAGTCATCGGCGAGTTCACTCCCAATCTCGTCGCAGTCCAGCTTCTCGAGTTCACTGTGCACGGTTTTAAAAGTGCCGTGCAGCTCCTCGATTTGCTTCAGCCTGCCAACGAGCATGAAGTGGTCAAATAGGGAAGCGTTCTCCAAGACAACTTCTAGCTGCTTCATCCGTTGAAATAACGCTGGTGCCTTCCGCTTTAGGAAAGCCACACTGTTTCCAGCAGCGGTCACTGCACCGTCGTTCCTCGCACCCATTTCGGCAGCAGGCGCTAGAAAACGTTTCTAGCGGGAAGATGACCGCAAAGAAGAGCGAACGCTTGCAATAAATGCAGCAAGAACCGCAAGCAGATCGCAAAGCAGACGACGCGAGCACCGTTTTTGTGTTGCCTTGTGCAAGCCGAATACCAAAACCCGTGGCTTAATGCGAATTTAACGAACGACAAGTTTTATTGTTTTTGTGATTTAATTGTTTATATCACGTCGGGGTCACCAAATGTTGAGCTAGCGAGCTTTTTCACTAGCGTAGTTTTGCGATATGTTTATTAACGAGACGATGGTTCTTTAGATTAAATATGGTTTTTTGTTGTAAACAGTATAAAGGCGATACAGAATCAAAGAGATAGCGAAAGGTTCGAGTTAGATTGATGACGAGTCGGTTGGAGAGTTAGCTGGATTCAAGACGGGGTCAGATTGTAGACGCGGGGGTCGGTACAAGACGGTGTCGGATTGAATAGCCCGATTCCAAGACGATGTGCAGTGGTTGCTAGATCCAGACTAATTCAAAGGGCAGGCGGGCGAATTGCCCGTGCCCTAATGCGAGCGAGAGAGCGAAAGATCGAGAGAGTAATAGCGAAAGGCGATAGAAAGAAAGGTGTGAGTTGAAGACGCGAGAGAACGGCGGCATAGGCTGCTGCCGTGCGGGAGCATGAATATGTACATATGTATGTAGATGACAAAGTTAAGCAGTGGGCAGTAGAAATGCCGAACAATAATAGATATTTTCTCTACTGCTGCACCACTGACTATGATCTACTGATTATTTGGCTGCGTAACCAAACATACTCCCCCCGTTGAAGAGCACGGGTCTTTAACATCCCTTTTCAACAGCATACAGGGTTCAGCAGGCAAAGCTTGTTGTTGATGGGGCCGTTCTTCCTTCCATCGAGACCTGTAGATTTGATGCATGGAAGCAACGCGTTGTCCGGCACCCATTCGGTTGAAGTTGAGCCATGTAATGTGAGGCTCGGCGACAGAAGAAGAGGCGAAGAAGAATAGGTCATTCAAACCAGGCACTGGAAGTGATGTGTCCAGATTAGCATGGCTCTCTGAAGACTGAGGGATTAGCAATTTCTGCCCTCCCCCCAATAGGGCAATGTGGGGATGGTCTTGGGCCCAGCACAGCTCGAGGTCCAGCGCGATGCCCAGAATTACGTCCGCCAGCAGAGAGCGGGGGCTCGTTCAGATGAACATCGGCCGGAACGGGGCGTTTGCAGGGAATCCACAATGCTTGAAGGTATGTAAGCGAGGTCGTAGCCTGAGCAGGAACCAGATCCGACGCAAGTCCACCTGTGTTGATGCAATCGAGGCCGCCATCTAACTTCGAATAGGATTCATCGTCCCCTGCTCTACCATGAACAGCCGGAACAATAAACAGATGCTTCGATTGGTATTGACTTCTGTTGATCAGTCCAATTGGCTCCAAAATCGCGCACGAATCCACTTGGAATGGGGCCGGTGTGATTTCCTGACCAAACGCAGGATGCGGAGCTACGGAAGTGGACCGCTTAGTGATCTCTGAGAGAATGATCCCAGTGAGCGTCACAAACAGCTCTTCAAAGTCATCGGCGAGTTCACTCCAATCTCGTCGCAGTCCAGCTTCTCGAGTTCACTGTGCACGGTTTTAAAAGTGCCGTGCAGCTCCTCGATTTGCTTCAGCCTGCCAACGAGCATGAAGTGGTCAAATAGGGAAGCGTTCTCCAAGACAACTTCTAGCTGCTTCATCCGTTGAAATAACGCTGGTGCCTTCCGCTTTAGGAAAGCCACACTGTTTCCAGCAGCGGTCACTGCACCGTCGTTCCTCGCACCCATTTCGGCAGCAGGCGCTAGAAAACGTTTCTAGCGGGAAGATGACCGCAAAGAAGAGCGAACGCTTGCAATAAATGCAGCAAGAACCGCAAGCAGATCGCAAAGCAGACGACGCGAGCACCGTTTTTGTTGCTTGTGCACAGCCGAATACCGAAAACCCGTGGCTTAATGCGAATTTAACGAACGACAAGTTTTATTGTTTTTGTGATTTAATTGTTTATATCACGTCGGGGTCACCAAATGTTGAGCTAGCGATCTTTTTCACTAGCGTAGTTTTGCGATATGTTTATTAACGAGACGATGGTTGTTTAGATTAAATATGGTTTTTTGTTGTAAACAGTATAAAGGCGATACAGAATCAAAGAGATAGCGAAAGGTTCGAGTTAGATTGATGACGAGTCGGTTGGAGAGTTAGCTGGATTCAAGACGGGGTCAGATTGTAGACGCGGGGGTCGGTACAAGACGGTGTCGGATTGAATAGCCCGATTCCAAGACGATGTGCAGTGGTTGCTAGATCCAGACTAATTCAAAGGGCAGGCGGGCGAATTGCCCGTGCCCTAATGCGAGCGAGAGAGCGAAAGATCGAGAGAGTAATAGCGAAAGGCGATAGAAATAAAGGTGTGAGTTGAAGACGCGAGAGAACGGCGGCATAGGCTGCTGCCGTGCGGAAGCATGAATATGTACATATGTATGTAGATGACAAAGTTAAGCAGTGGGCAGTAGAAATGCCGAACAATAATAGATATTTTCTCTACTGCTGCACCACTGACTATGATCTACTGATTATTTGGCTGCGTAACCAAACATCATGTTTAAGAGATATGAGCAATCAAAGTTGAAAATTTTTTCGTTTCATAGAAAGTTCTAGAGAAAAATTTTGACTTTTAATGTTTAGGGGTTGCTACCACGAATAGAAAATACACTTTTTTGGTTATATATAATTTTAAAATTCGTCGCTTTTTTTTAAATAATATTGACACTTAGACACTAGTTCATTTTAATAATAATAATAAGCTGAGGTTGATATATTTGGTTATGCAATATATTTGCTGGCAAATAATTTTCAATTTTCTTGTTTTAAACTTTTTAATCTCGGTAGCAACCTCTAAACATTTTTTTAAAATAAAAATAAAAACATTAATATACTATTTTAACCCAAGATAAAAAAATTAAAGGGTGTTCCGTTTAAATAAAAAAAAAAAAACCATTGGCTCAACCTAATACCCTATTTTGCCTGTTTTTCGTTTGTCTTTTCCTGGTGAAAACCCAAGTAACTGAAGTAACTTTAAACTTATTTATATTATTTAATATTAAAAAATTAATTTTTTAATTTACAGGTTTCGATAGAAATATTTATATAGGCAAAAGTACCCAAATGGTTGGTCCTCGTCAGATTCGTAGAATAGTTAAAAGGGAAAGGGATCAACTAGGGGAAAGGTTGAGGTCAGTCGAAGGCAGTCAGAATAGTGTAGAAGTTAGCTCACAGGTATTAAATGATTGTATTCAGGAAGATATAGAAGTAGATCAGGAATATATAGAAATATTTTTTACAGAAGATCCATCACCCAATGAGCAGGTGATATCCGTATTGAGAGGTAAGTTTCTAAATCAACACTGACAAAAATATGGAATGGTAAATAAACATATATTTTCATATTGAATCAAAAGTGGCATATTTAATAGTTCGATTAAGTACAATGTATAATGATTTTTTTTATTGAATTATTGAATTGAATTATGAAATATGCCACTTTTGATTCAATATGAAAATATATGTTTATTTACCATTCCATATTTTTATCATTTTATTTATAAATTATACTTTTCAAAATCGTTTATTATTTATATTTTTACATTTTTAGAAGAGATGAAGCTGCTCCGTGAACAAAATGCTGTACTGATGCAAAAACTTGATGTAATGGCGGAGAAGCTCGCAGAAGCCACCGCCCTTATCAAAGTGAGCGTAAAGGTGGAGGAGGTCCCGGCTGCTATGAGCTTGCCAATAAAGTCGGAGGAGGAGCTTGATCGTTTTGAGGAGTCATTGACTCCTCAGATTAAAGATTTCTACGTAAGTACCATAAAAAACTTCTTATTAAAATTATAATACCTTCTGCAAGAGCTTGCAAAATTTTACATAGTCTCAATCGATTTATAAACATATTTTTTACATATTTACAGATAAATAAAGTTCGGAAGATGCTTGGAAGCTGCCCACTATCAAAATGCCTTAAAAACATAATAGATGAAGACACCATTAAGTTATACAACTTAGATGGGACATGCGGGAAAAAGCGGCTCAAAAACAGAGCTGGGATTTATTCGATTCTCAAAGGTAAAACTAAATACATCATATATTGCTTTTTAGCTTAAAATATATTACCTTCAAATGTTAAAATTCCATAACAATAGAAAGAGATTACAATTTTTTTTTTTTAATAAAATTTCAGAAGCATTAGAGCAGATAAATCCAATAGACTCGGCGGATAGGTCAATAAGAAAGGCGATACTAAATGTAAAAAACAACATCACAAAGAAGAAGACCAGAAATAAATAAAAAATAATATTGACACGTAAATATAATGGTTTTTTAATGAAGTTTTTGTAAAAGAAAGTAAGATGTGACTCTTTTCATGAAATTAAAAAAAAATGTCATCGACATATGAGAAGCCTAGGTGGCTTCCTATATGATTTTTTTAATTTCATGAAAAGAGTCACATGTGACTTTCTGTAAGACATATTTTGAAAAGTCACTGGTGTCTTTCCATAGGACATATATTGAAGAGTCACGAGTGACTTCCCTATGGACATATATTGAAGATTCACGAGTGACTTCCCCATGGACATATATTGAAAGTCACGGGTGACTTCCTATAGGACATGCTTTGATTTCATATAGGACATTTTCGGAATTGTCCTATATGAAATCAAAATACGTATAAGCACTAACCATACAGTATATAGATGTGCCAGTTCATACAACGAAAGGGGCGCAGCTGAGTGTTCTGTCCCGGCTCCCAGGCGCTTCGGCTCTGTGAGGCTGAGACATTCGGGTCGGGAGCTGGGCCGTTTGGCATGTATGACTCATGTCGGGAAGCGAAAGCAAGCTGAGAATTGCAAATGTGTGTGTGTAAACAGACACGACAAAATTTTGTATCAACCCTGCAGTACCAGAAGTGAGCGATGACAAATGTCAACTACGCGTCATTCAGGATTTTTTCTCTGCCGCTGCAACAGACGAGTAGAATATGACGTCGACGTCGCGATCGACGCGTCGGTCAGACCAAAACGTCCCGTCCGTCCGTCCGTCTGTCCGTCTCGATGAGCGCCTGGATCTCAGAGACTATAAGAGCTAGGGCAACCAAATTTGGTTTCCACACTCATGTGATATCACACTGCTACAAGTATATTTCAGAATTTCGCCCCGCCCCCTTCCGCCCACACAAAAGACGAAAATCTGTGGCAGCCACAATTTTAAAGATACGATAAAACTAAAAACGCATTATCGTAGAGAATGCCCATATCTACCAGATTGCCGAATCTGAATCAGATCGGATCATAATTATAGCCAGAATGAAGAAATTAATTTTCAGTTGCTTCCCATCCCCCTCCTCCCACAAACGACAACGCAACTCATTTTCCTTCTCGCTCGCACACTCTGCCGCGTTCAGTACGCGAGCAACCCCTAGCCGAGATGATGTAGAATCTAAATGGTACATGTATAATCTACATCAGGGGTCGGCACACAGACTCACACATTTTTTTGGTGCGTTTGTGTGCGAAAACAACACACGAAGTCAAATACGTTACTTATTTCTCTACCGCTGCGAAAGCCGAAGAATTGTGCATGGGGCACACGAATGCTTCTCTGCCGCTGAGGCAAGCGAGCAGAATATGAAGCCGTTTGTGCATAGCCCGAAGCATGTTTCTCTGTTGCGACGTCAGCAGAGCAGAATTTTCTCTGCCGCTACGTCATAAGGCAGAATAACGAAACCACACGAAGTCTTTACGCTGTACGTGTGCCGACTGCGCTGCTCGAAATTTTTTCCTATGCACAGTGCATACGACGCTGCCGGCCTCTGATCTACATGTTAGATGTATAATATACATAGTAGATGTAGATAACATATGTAGCAAATATATATAAAATGTAAAATTTTTTCTAATTCTAAATTCTAAGAAATTATAATCTCAAAAATGTAAATACTGACTGGGTACGGGTATAAGTAGAGTCGCGTCCCCAGAAGCGACTAACACGTTCCTTCTCTTTTTATTTGTTTTTCTTGTACTCCGATGTGACTTGGCCCAGAACCTGTTGGTTATTGAAATTAGTAATGGTTAAAATAAAGAACGCACGCAGATTTGTATATAATATTCAATTTATTATTTTCTTCCTTTGCTACCGACTTGCCACGCTGAAAATTTGTAAGAGAGTGAAAAAGAGGTCAGATGGAGAGACCATGGCACAGCTTTATAAGGTAGTCCCATCGCGAGAGTTGCACCATGGGAGAGACCAGCCGAAGGCTGGTAGATCTGGAATACATACATATTGCTGTATACAATAGTTGTCCCGCTTTAACGCATTTTTACAAGATTGATCCCTGCTTGTTTTGCACATCACAGGAACACACATACACATGTACAATAAGACCAAATGCGTGAATGATGCAATAGCTAGAATTATTGCAATAGCAATTTGTACTGCGTTGCTGCATTTCAGCTGCTCAAACATTACTGCAGTTTGAAAAGGATAACCCCAGAAGAGCTTTGGATCTCTGCGATCTCTTTGACCAGCGCCAGATCGGTGCCAGTCTACAGCGAGCCATGGCATTGGGCTCATCCTTGCCCTACAGCGATATCCTGCAGGAGCTGGTGGGTGAGCCTGTCATCAATATTGATGGGTTGCTGACCTACTTCCAGCCTATACACGATTGGTTGGTGCAGCAGAATCAGCTAAAAACTATGGACGTGGGCTGGCCATAGAGTACTATCCGACAATGCTGTATGCGGACATTTATATACGAATAACTCAAGTAAATACTTGCCAATGGGATAATAATGTACTAGTACTTCTCCATACTGTTCAGGAGCTAGACGGTTAATAAAGTGTACAGATCTTTGTATTTTGGTCACCTGGTAATTTGAATTTCCAACTCAGCCCGAAAGTATGTACGAGTAAAGTGGAATTCATGTCAAAATCATGTAGATATGCCAGTTAGAGGAATAAAATCCTGATTGTTTGAGATCAATTGAAATCAATTTTTTCAATAAAAAAAGTGTCTACATGTTAGCGTTTGATGGAAATGTTTTACTTTAGATGGCCTTGAATTGAATATCTTATTTTTAGAACAGCATTAGAAGTCAACATTAAACGGATGTATATAGAAGCTCAGCCCAGCGCTATTGCTTGTATATAAAGGCATGTGTTGACCTACTGAGCTTTTCCAGTAGCGTTGTTTTGTGAGGTTATTAAATAGACGATGATTCTTCAGTTAATATATTCACAGTTTATTGTAGAGTAGTTCATTATGTATGTAGTATTGAAAAATAGCGAAAGGTTCGCTCGTTGTCAAATCCGCAGATAACGAGAGTTCGCGAACTATGTGCCAGACAGCAAAACGTTTAACTACGGTGATGATCGATTTTGAAGTGTCTGCATGCTTTTTCTGACGAGCCTCCCTCACAGCGACTGACGAACGCCGAACGCCGTATAAGCAAACGCAAACAAAACGGTGATAAAGAGATGTTACATATGCTCAACTGCTCGTTGTGCTGCCATGGGCCGGCGCTTAGCCGAACAGCATGGATACCGAACTATTACTTGGACTTGCTCTAGTTGAAGCAAGAATTCAAAATTAAATTAGAGCTGATCTGCATAAACCGATTCAATATTTTAACCTACAGTCTAACCATACAAAAACTTCGAAATGGAATCGTAAAAACTATCAGCTTGGAATCCTGCTTTGTAAATTGTGATCCGCTTATCGAAAGACATTTAACGTTAAAGAGAGAGTTAAGCGCATTTTATATTTCGAGATATTTAAATGTAACTATTAAACGGAAACTAGTGAAACCAATCCAGTTACATATCATCTGCTAGCCACGAATAAAAATACACCTCCAAAGAAATATACATATGTACATCGTTTGTGTCTTGGACAGAAGGAATTGGGATGTGCCCCCGCTCGTGCTGCAGAATTTAAAGACTTCATAAGAAATCAGCCCTTGCCGATTTATTTCGTAGTTTCGTTATTTTATCGCCACTTGCTCTTTCCCTTTAAAATCAAATTTTTTCTCTGAATCCGACTGTAAAATCCAATGGGAATCCAAAAATGAATTTCATTTTCGTACAGCAATTCAAAATTCCAAATTGAATGCCAATAGCATGCTTACCGACGGTGTCTTCTCGTGCGAGTTCGAGGTATATGGAAGGGTCCAAGGCGTCTATTTCCGTCATCATGCGATGATGAAGGCCAAGACGCTGGGACTTCGGGGCTGGTGCATGAACACGGCAAAAGGCACAGTCAGGGGCTACATGGAGGGTCGGCGCCCCGAGATCGCCGTGATGAAGGAGTGGCTGAAAACCACGGGCAGTCCTGGGTCGAATGTCGAGAGGGTGAAGTTCAGTAGGCAACGGGAGAAGGAAGGCTATGGCTTTCCCAATTTCCACGATAGATCCGATGGCTACAAGCAGGTTCAAATTCAAAAAAAGGAAAAATTGGGACTATGAAGAATCAGGACCATCAAAGAGCCTCAGAAAATAAAAGGCAAACAAAACAATCCGATCTCAAATGGAAGATTCCTGGGCCTCGGATCTTATCAGCCCGATCTGGAAATATTCGTTAAGTATTCGAACATAGAGCATAGCATTGTCTAAGAAATATACCGGAATGAATCTAAAACAAAGGCACAACACAGGCGTGGAACTATAATTAAAATGCACTTGATTATGATGACTCTCGGAGGCTCTTCGCTCGACAGCCACTCATTAGAGCCGAGCAAATAACTATAGTTAAGAAATAAAAATAAAAGATTAACTGCAGTATGTGCTTGGAGTGCGTCATGCTAAGCGCTCTTCGCTTTGCCAGGCGTATTGAGTTACACTAATTATTCATTCGTGTAAATTAATTATTTACAGACAGTTGACAGCCGATCAGCTACAATATTTTCCCACGGTTCCGACAAGTCCAGAATTTCTGTAATTTCTGGTATGGAACGGAGTTGAGAGAACCATGCCCATGCCCGACCTTGACTCTTAATTAGCTTTTTCACCCAAAAAAAAAATGGATACGTTCCAGGTAGGAATATATCACTGAGCAGCCAACCACATCATAAATCTGGCTAATATTTATGAGCTCATATCCGAGACAGATAGACTTTGCAGATCCCAATCTAATTACAGGCTGAATCACATATGTACATATGTACATACATATGTACGAGTATATCCGTATGTGCACATTCATACTGAATTATGCACTCGCATCCGTATGCCACTGGAATAGCAAGCAAGCAATCAATCAGCGTGCCAACTCATTCACTGTGCCCTGGTGGCCAGTCATGGAGCCCCAGTTATCACCTCTATGGATTTCTCTCTCCCCATATCTCATCTACATCTCTCCTGCATTCACGCTGTGAGTCTTCTGTGAGTCAGAGCTTCGATCACATGTCGCCAGGTCAAGACTGACTGAAAATATTCCACAATCCGACAGCGGGGGTGGCAGTAGTTAACATTCAAACTGAATGCATATATTACCCAGTTATATAGAAAGATAATAGCATTGATAAGGGGCTGTCAAAAATCATCGAAAACGTGATTACGTAATATATGGACAGCCCCTAATAATAATACTCGTAACCCATCTATGCCGGGATCTGCTCAGATTCTGGCTACAATTAAGTGAACTAACTAAAGGTTAGAGTAGATTCTGTGTCGATTTAGCCATAAAATACAAAATACAAATACAATTTATTTGAATTTTAACGGATCTTTTGTGGGCCAGCAATCCCTGTTGGTAATGGCCAAACGCATTAGTTCTATCGTACACAAATATGTACATAGCTCCACACATTTTCCACATTTCGCTGGGTCAAGAGCGACAATCAAGAAATTCCACAAATGCGGGTGGCGCTGCCTTGTAGAACGCATGCGCAACATCAGCGCCAGCTGCGGCACATAGCCGCCGATCGGCAAACGAATTTGCCTCGCTCTGCGGGTCACTGATTTCCATTCAGGTGCTTACAGCAAATAGGGGGAAGATTAGTGTTCAATTGGATGGGGGTAACTTACTCATGGGATCCAGTGTTGCTCAATGAGGGTCTGGGCTGTCGTTAGCTTACTTAGCACAGATAACCACCGACTCACGTTGAGTGACTTTGTCCAGTTGTCCCCCCGCCTACGGCAAGAGCCACAGCAACCCACTCAATCGCTATGTACTTTCTCACAGTCTCTCCGTACAGTACGAGTACGAGTACGAGTATTATGCGGTTAAGCTTTTCGCCTGATAAGTGCCCTCACCTCACCCTCCCTTATAATTGCCAACATGCATGCAAAACACAGATACACACGCATACAGGTGCCTCATTGTTGTTCCCAAGCTTATGGATGATTTGATTGTACGAGTACTCGGAGTGGTTGCTGCAGCAGAGAGGCCGAGGCGGGGGCCGAGTCCCAGTGCTAATTGCGATTATCTCACACGAAAATATATAGAAACATCTGACGACAGCGCCGGCAGCGACGCTGGCTGCAGCTGGGACTGCGCTCAAATTTGAATTCATTTTCGCTTTTCGAGTTGGAAAAAAGTAGCAAAGTAATTTCGAATAATATTCTTACCGTCTAGTCAGTAGAGTTTTAGACGCGTTCGTTCCCTGACGTTACGTTACGTCGGCGGTACGGTACGAGAAAAGATTCCCGGATAAATCGGACGAGATATTGTGCTCAGTGAAAGGGAGAAAGGGAGAGAAAAAAAGCGTCTCCAAGAGTGAAAGCTATTGTGTGTGTGCCGCAGATCAGCTCGTCGATCAGTGAAGTTCTTTCAGCTCCACAGGCGGGGTCTAGGAAAATCTTGGGTTTGCAATTAAAGCAGTTAATTGCTTGCGAAAGACTTAATAAGTGAGCTGTCAGTCCCGACCTTGGCAGTGCTAAATATAGATCTTAGGATAAGCATAATGCACGGTGTTTCGGCCATAAGCTGGCTTGGGCTTTGGCTTTGCCTTGGCCTAACCTGGGCCAGTCCACAGCTCAACCTGCCCACCCCACAGCCGGAGATCTTCTACAATGGCTACACCCCCAATGTGGCCACGACGCCCGCCCAGTTGACGGCGGATCGCAATCGCGACCAACGCTACGGGCCGCCCTATGCAGACGACGGGGGCGGGGGCGGGGCGAGCACGGATGACGGGTCGGATGACTTTAGGGTGTGTTTTGTATTGGGTTAGCTCATTGGTATGCCCACTAACCCGGTGATCTCTCGCTTGCAGTACGGCCAGACCTATGACGAGCGCATGAGGATTGGCTATGCCTATCCCATGCCGCGTGTGAACTTCAGCGACCGCGCTGACTCACCCTTCAGTGGGGATGCCAATCAGTATGCCAACCACAACTACGGCCCGATTTCCAGCACCACCGATCGCAACTCTGGAATCGATCCCAACGCGAACGGACGATACTCGGATGTGCCCTACTCCGCTCCAGGAAACAGGAACTACAACCCCAACGACCAGTACAACAACAACTATAATAACAACCCCAATGTGGAATTCGTGGGCGGTGTGAACAACCGCAATCGCTTCGAGAATCCCTTCCTTTCCAATCAGGACCGCTTCAACCTCAATCAAGGATACGTGGACCGTCAGCGCTACCAGCAGGACCGTCGCTACCAGCAGGAGCTGGAGAAGCTGCGCACTCTGCTGGTGGAATCCGATCAGAAGGGCTCCCTGGAGTGCACGGCAAACGTGGCGGCCCAGTGGAATTTCGAAACGAACGTAAACGATTTTACACAGACGGAAGCGGTGAGTGGTCTCGGGCAAGCCCCGAACAAATACAACTCGCACTCTTGCTCGTAATTGTGGTTGAACGGCACGCGATCTTCGTGGTCGTGGTGGTGGTGGTGCACCTTTTTCCCAGGTGCCTTAGGCTGGCTGGCTTGTGTTCGCAGCTTTTTTACATGCCTCAGACACACACAGAAAAGACAGAAAAGTCGCGTTCTGAAGGTCGAATTGCCTTGTCAGATTCCCAGGCAGACATGCCAATGTCAAAGAGTTGTAGTATGAGAGTTTTTGCTATCGTGAAAAGTTTTGCGAGTATGTACTAATCGGTGCTGGCGGCAGATACAATGTATATGAGAAGCTTTAATGTTTTATTTGAGTGAAGAACAGTGTTTGCATCCTTATAAGCCCTATTCATTCTCTCCACCCTCCAGCTTAATGCTCAACAAAGGTATGTGGAGTTCCAGCGAATCACGGCGGAACAGTCGAAACGCATCAACAAGGACCTCATCTTTGATCGCCGCCTCTACAGACAATTGATGCTGCAGTCTGAAGTGGGGCCCAACGCTCTGCCCTTGGACGTTTTGGATAGGGTGAGATCTCCATACCTTAATCCAACGATGCCATCTTTTTCAAGCTCTTGTTCCTGTAGTACAATCGCCTGTTGAATGAAATGCTCTTCCTGTACAACAGCGCCGGTGTTTGCGCCTACCAGCAGCCATTCCAGTGCGACCTGCACTACATACCGCACCTCAAGGACATCATGGCCAAGAGCAGGGATTGGGATGAGCTGCAGCACACGTGGGTGGAGTACCACCGAAAAGCCGGACGTGGAATGCGCGACAGCTACGAGCAGCTCATTGACGTAATGCAGGAGGTGGCCTATGTGAACAGTGAGTTGGAAATCCACACTTTCATACGAGTATTCAGTCTGACAGCTCTGCTTCTGCAGATGTGACCAATGGGGGCGAGTACTGGTACTTGGCGTACGAGTCGGGAAACTTTCGCCAGGACATGGACATTGTGTGGGAGCAAATCCGTCCGCTGTATGAGGCTCTGCACGCCTATGTGCGAAGGAAGCTCAGGGATTACTATGGACCGGATCGCATCAACCGCATAGCCCCCATTCCCTCACACATTCTGGGCAACATGTTCGGCCAGTCGTGGTCGAATGTCCTCGACATACTCATACCGTATCCAGGTCGCAAGTTAATTGATGTCACACCCCGCATGGTTGAGCAGGGATACACGCCTCAGCTGATGTTCCAGCTGGCCGAGGAGTTCTTCACCTCCATCAACATGTCCGCCGTCGGTCCGGAGTTCTACCAGAACTCTGTGTTGGAGCAGCCCCTGGACAGGAGGGTGCTCTGCGAACCCTCGGCCTGGGACTTCTGCAACCGTCACGACTTCCGTGTCAAAATCTGCACCGACATCAACCAGCGGAGTCTGATCAGCGTGCACCACGAGATGGCCCACATTCAGTACTTCCTTCAGTACCGCCATCTGCCCAAGATCTTCCGGAACGGAGCCAATCCGGCCTTCCATCAGGCTGTGGGCGATGCCATTGGGCTGTCCGTGTCCACTCCAAAGCACTTGCAGACATTGGGCCTGCTCCAACGGTCCCTGGATGAGTCCAGCTATGACATCAACTACCTCTTTACTATGGCCATTGACAAGGTAACCCGAGAGACAGATCCTTTGAACTCCAATATGATGACGAAATGATCTCCTAGGTGGCCTTTCTGCCCTTCGCCTTGTCCTTGGATAATTGGCGCTACGATGTCTTCAGCGGAAATGCGAACAAGCGAACGATGAACTGCCATTACTGGAACATGCGGTGAGTGTGGAGCAGTTTGCAAAAGTATCCCGCATTTATATGCATTCTCCCCACCCACCCACTCAGGGAAAAGTATTCGGGTATCAAGCCGCCTGTTCTGCGGTCTGAGAAGGACTTTGACTTGGGTGCCAAGTACCACATACCAGCGAATATTCCGTATATCAAGTAAGTGATGAAAGTTCTTTGCATTTCGCCAACCAATCTCTGGACGGC